CCAGTAAGAGTAATTGTGCAGCATTTTTGTGTTACGGATTACAGTCATATCTTGTTTTGGGATATCGCAGTTCTACAAGAAGTTATGTGCAAAACTGGAAAATATAATTTGGAGAGCAACGGAAGGAATGCCGAAGTCAGAGCTTCTCAGAACAATGACGTTCTGATCCCTTCTCAGCTTCACCTATGTTTGTAAAGTAACTTATGCGGAATACTATAAACCTCACTCTTACCTGTCCAACTAGAGAAGAGCAAAAGAACTCGAGCATGGAATGTAAGTTCAATAAAATGTAGACTCGTATGATAAATGAATGACGTAAAGTGTTTTGGCCATTGCATTTTCTTATTTGTTGTAGTGTGATTTACTGGATCCGTCTATTAACCAAACACAGGTCCAATCAGGGAACGTGAATCTGCTTAAGACTATGTAGTTTGATTCAAATGAATTATGAGACTCAATATGAGTTAAATACATCTTTTCTTTTATAACCGGGATAGATTATGGACCTAAACTAAGACTAATACTCAAGATTTGAAATATTTTGTGTCAATTAAGCGTCTACGGTGGTTTTTATGGATGGCCGATAATGGAGGTTCATAATTGGTCAAATTTGGGCCAAATCCTACACTAATATACTCAAGATTTGTAGAAAAATAAATATCTTCTATATATTAAAGAATAAACATTCTAGGCTAATTTTGCTTAGATGTCATCACCACAAATTTTCTCATTTTTCTTATTTTTTTTTATATTTAATTACTCTATATTCATTATCAAACACATTTATTTCCAAATTAACTTATTTTGATTACTCTTATTCTAATTGCCAAACACATTGAAATAACCCTAAACTTGCCAAATTTATAATATTTTGAAATCCTAAACTTGCCAAAACTTAAATATTTCGAAAATTCTAAACTTAAATCATATAATTGAGAACAAAAAAATAACATATATTCCAAATTTTAAATAATTTTAAAATAAATTAAAAGAGAATTTGATTATCTTTTGAAAATCTATGAACATATAAAACAATATTTCATATATATATTTTGAGGCAATTGCAAAAATGGCACTTTGGTGTGTACATTTGCAAAAATGCCACTTAGGGGGTTCATTTGCAAAAATGTCACTAATTATAGATTTTTAAAACATAAATCTTAAAATTATAAACTATTAAAATGTTTTGACCCCTAAAACCCTCAAAACTAAACCCTAATACAACGTAGTTAACCGAAACATAAATGATGTAATGAATTTTTTTTGTTGAAAAAGTGGCATTTTAAAAAATTTCTTATATATTTTTACATATATAATTAGGTACATTTAAGATAAATATAATACTCATTTTTGCTTTTAAAAATTTGTGTGAGCAACTAAAAATTTGTATTAGATCTTAACAACAAATCTAACAATATATTTAGTAATTTATGGTTAGTTCGGTTCGGCTTCATATAATTCGAATTTGATTTAGATGATTTATTATAGAAATTTCGAAATTTATTCATAATTATATAATTTTGTTCGAGTTTGGATTGATCAATTTTGACTTACTATTTTTTATTAGTCTATACTCATTACCAAACACATTTGAATACAATTATTTCAAAATCTAGTATTAAATTTCACCATTTAATGTAAAAAAAAAAAAAAATTCTTTTTCATACTTACTTTTTGAAAACTATGAACATGTGAAAAAAAATAATTCAAAATATATTTTAACAATAATTGATACATAACTAAACACATTTAAGATAAAAAAACATTATTTTATTTTGGTTGGAACAATTTGTGTTAGCAATTAAAAATTTGGGACATGCATAAAATAAAATGATACTAAAACTAAAACCATGAGAGCAATACTAGATCAAATACTATGTGATAAAAAATCAGCTAATTGATTCAGAATATATATAAAAAATACATACAAAAATAATAACTTTTAGTAAGTTTGATTTCTTCGGTTAGATTTTATAAAATTAGAGTTAGTTTAAGGTAATTAAGTACAGAATTTATGTACCATTCAAATTATTATACAATTAGGTTCACAGTCAAACTGGTAAATTTTTATTTGGTTCGGTTTATACAGTTTTTCTATCTATAGTTATTATTCTAGTTGTCAAATAAAACGTCTACACTGGTTTAGTGGAGGACTAATAATGGAGGTTCATAGTTGGTGAAATTCCAATCCCAGTTTTGATTCGCAAAGCTAATCTTTCACATTTCTAATTCAATCATTGTACCAACATCATTTTGTCAATCCACACATTCTCTTTACAATTACAAGTCCTTTTCTATTTTTAGGGTCGTTACATGGTTCCAATTTTTTTTTTTAATTGAATGTAAAATTATAATTAAATCAAATCCGTTGTTACAATAAATATTTCGTTATGCTTGAAAAGAGTAGAGTTCTATGCTGAACGTTTTACGTAAAAAGATAGCTTTGGGGCCAATGTGTTGTTACCGTGTCGAGAGCCACAACTCCATCGTTTCTGCGTATGTGTGGTTTCCTGCACCTCGGATGGAATTGATGAGGTTAATGATAGTCTTGTCGATAGTCTTGATTAGGGAACTTGGTGTTTGGCCTGGTTCCCCATGTCTCCTTTGATTTTTCTCTTGCCAAATGTGGTAAACACACACTTGGAATGCATACCGGAGAAGATATTGTTTGAATTTTGACTGATTACATGTGAGTAGAGCAACAAGCAGAGTCCAGTCGGTCGTGTATGCAGTTCCAAGCAAATTTTGCATCGTTTTCTTCCAAATTTCGCTAGAGAAGCTACATTAAAAAAGAAGTGGTTTCGTGTTTCTTCTGCCTTATGACAGAGGTAACAGTCAATAACTTGGCATGAACCCCAATTTCGCATATGGTCACCTGTGCATAAACTAATTGAACGTTTTGTTTTCCATGTTCTCTTAGAGACTTAGAGTGGTCTAATAGTCTTACCTTACAATAAACGACAAGGAAAATATAACTTTAAAATGCAAGAAACAAAACTTTGCGTTAAAGGAAAACAATCCTCAAATATAATAACTACATCAAATCAAATATACTTATTGGCTTTAGT